TTAAAAATATCACAATTCTTGCCACCTTTTTCAAAAAACCAGAAAGTGCCTTCTTATCAATCCATTATGAAAATGACAACAGTGATAAATGTGAAAAAAAAAATTTAATGTTGCTATTCGTTATTACGATAGTAAAACATGTTTGCAGTTCCGTTTATTTTTTATGAAAATTAAGTAAAAACAACCAATGTCAAAGGGTTATAATTTTTTTTCTGTCGAACCAAATATATCACAAAATTTAAAAATTGATCATAGGTCAAGCTGAAGTAATACCTTTATTGATAATAGCATTAAAAAAGGAGAAAGAATAATATTGACTTAAGTTATTATTATTAACATTGGTGATTTTTAATAAAAACTCTTCAATTATTGTTTACAAACAAAAATATAAAAATCTGTGAAAATTTTATTTATTAACCATTTAATAAAAAATGAGAAAAATTAAGTAAAAAACAATTTATTTACAAATAAAAAATATATATACAAATCCTAAGAATATAAAAGTACTAATTTATTTTCCTGTAGTGGATGAAGAGGTTTCTTTAACAATCTAGCCAAGTGTACATCAATATTTACGCATTTTGATAAATTAGAGCCTTTCCAATAACACTGAGTAGATGTTACAGATGGTTCCTCACTTCTTCTATGAAGCCACATATTTACAACCAACTGAAAAAAATAAAAGGGTTAGATATGCAGTTACAAAATAACTATATAACCAGCTACAAAATGCCTTTATTTTATGTAACAAGACGAGCAGAGCTTTACTAGCTCTGAACGAATCCAGTAAAGAACCTCGGATTTTCAAAACTTAAAAAAAAAACAATCTCACCACATTTTCACATTTTTGAAATATTATAGAGCTTTTCGAAAAAAACTGTCATTTTTAAAAATACAATTTTTTGTTTAAACAGCTATGTCTCATTTTAGGCTATTGAGTATTATAAAATAAAAAATTACGGGATGCTTTGTTAGCTTCAAACGAGGTGCTTTGCTGACTTCGTTCGAAGCTATAGAGCATTTTAAGTTTTGCAAAAAACGAGGAGCATAAAAATTTTGAAAAGGGTATAAAAATAGCCTAAAAATATGGCATATTTTTTAACTCAAAATTTCATAGGTGCTCTGCAGTATTCTTTGGTATCATAATTATTACTAGGTTCACTAACAAAATCTGTTTCTAGATTATTTTAACACTTGCTGCGATTACAAAAAATGTCTATATGTCAAAATTAGAAAAAAAATATTTATAGGAATAAAGGGCCTTATACACTGTTTATTATATGTAATATAAAAACAAAAAAGCATAATAAATATTACAAACCTTGACATGCAGCATATCCTAAGTATATTGTGCACTAAAAATTTCATTTTTGTTAATTACAACAACCTCATCAGAAGGTTTTTGCCGTACTTTATGTTTAGGTGTAATTTGTCTCCTTCTCTCTTATGGAAAAAGAAATTATCCCCATATTCTTGCTTGGCAGATCTAAAAATAAAACCGGAGATAAATATGTTTTACTTGCTCCATATAAATTGTAACTACCTACTATTAAAACAAAGTCTTACCTTTCTGAATTTTGTAAACTGAGTATTGTTAAAAAATGCAGTAATCATCTCGGTAATCATATTTTCGTTTACAATGGGTAGAACACTTAATTCAACTTTTATAAATCCAGCTGATTTTCATATTAATAATAAAATTAAACCAAAACAAAAAACTAAGGTTAGGTGGTGTCAATTTTAATGTCACTTAGATGTGCGTTCACTTCAACATTCTGTTTGTCGGTTTGTTCGTTGGCTTGGTTTTGTATAAAAAAAAAACTTCGACACAAGATGATTGGTCTATTCCCGATGACGTATAATTTCAAATTTTAAATTTCAATTGGGCTTAATTTAAAAACTTTAGGCTTTTTTAACGAACTGACTATTTAGAATAACTTGTATAGCGACTAACTATTACAATATAATTTATAAAACAGCATATCTCACATGTGAACATGGCCCATTGGTTGTCTTTTTACATTCAAAAGTGATGTATGCCGAGTCCGTCCGGCAGGAACCAATAGTTGAACTCTTTCAAGCAGTGTCCCGCACTTGATAGAACCACCTATTAATTTAGCCAGGAATGGGAGTAAAGCCTGTTTCCTTCTGCATTCCAGGCTCTGCATGCCACAAAGCATTAATCTTATTTGATAACATGTTTTATGGCTATTTTCATCTGTTGGTATGGATTCAAATAGTTTTGGAATTATCGATATAATGGAAATACCTCTATAATTATTTATATCGCTTTTATCACCTTTCTTGTAAACTAGCATAACTAAGTAAGCGATGTTTTTTATTCGTGAAGTTAACCATAAGTGGGGAATGTAGAGGATCAATTTTCACCAGTGAAAAATCGCTAGATTCAAACTCGTCCACAAATATACGATCCAGTATCCGTTGGAGCGAATTGAAAATATAGTTTATTTGATTGAGTTCATGGAAACACATTGTATCAATCAAATTCTCGGCGGTAGCATGTTGAATTCTAGTTGGAACAACAAAACTATCTTCCATTTTTCCATTGGACATGTGGAAGATTGAATTTATGATTTATAACTTTGCTTTTTAGAGATTCGCATAAATCGCAAAACGATAAATAGCTTTTTAATGACGTGTTATACACACATCCAATTACCGTATGGATATTGTTTATTTTAGCCTTAACCCAAATATCATCATATGTAGATGTTGGAGTATCAGTCTTGTCAGTTGGAACATGAGGTAAAGTTGCTATTAAAGTTCCACCTCCTCGGCTGCAATTGAGGAGGCCATAATTGCTGTCCTTCCTGCATACAAAATATCTATCGCCGAAAAATTCAAAACTATGAAAGTCTTCATTAAGCTAAGTTTCACTCAAAAGGATATGTCATAGTTACAAGAATATATACTATTCAAAATATTAGCTGCTTTCGTTCGTAGTCCATTAACATTTTGGTAGTATATAGTAGTTTGGTCACCACTGAATTGAGGTTGTGAATTCTTTAATACAATGGGGTTTTGGTATGTTGTATAATCATGGTTTAAGATATGTTCGATGGATTGAGAAAATTTTGTTGTTGTGTAATCGGTAAGTTAGTTTCTATTAGAGTACAACTAACAGGAAGAGTATTTTTTTTTGAAATTCTTTAATGTAAAAATAATTAGTTTTATGAGTTCTCGCTTCTGGTAACTGGACATTAGACCATCATATGAAAAAACTTTCGAAGGTATAAAATGACAGAATTCAAAATTACGAAGCATAGATTGAATTTTAAGATCAAATTGTTGGATGAATCTGTTAATAATATTGCGATTAAATCTTTGTGGAGGTCCGCAAATAAACAAATTGGTTCTGCAACTTTCCTGATGTAAGGATTTAAGTGACTCTATAGCTATGGGTTTACCTTTCCGAGCATTGACATCGCCGGTGAACAGGATAACGATGTCTTGGTTATTAAAATTTGAAATACGGTCCTCAAATGAAGATTTTGCTGACCATTGACAGTTTATATCGTAGTGGTTGTTGGTAATGTGTTTAACTAGACCTCTTGCATTTTCATCACCCAAGATTAAAAGTTGGGGTTTTCGAGCTGATGAGGAAGGTTTATCTCGAAGTAAAGATTGTGGTGTAGCCCCAGTTGAGTTGTTATCTTTTTGAATATTGTCCACCAGACTTTTCAGCTTTTTAGTTCTTGAAACAGCGATGAATTTTCTTGCTCAAGAACAGAAATTGAATTTTTCATGTCCTTATTTATTTCAGTTAGGTCATTTACCTTAGCGTCTGAGTATTCAAATCATTACCTAATTTAACTTTAGTCTCTAAGTCCTTGTTTAGTATCTGAAGAGATTACTCATTTAAATAATTATTTATAGTCCTTAAATAGATACAATTGTATCTTCTTCTGCTAATAATTTAAAATGTTCGGTACTATTTTTAAGATACGTTACGACACTGGCAAACAAACATTACCGCGAAATTCTGGAAGACGTCCGACGGGGTTTTACGTTTACCACCTCTCTACCTACCAAAAGTCTTTCCAAATTCTGTTCCCCAGTTCTACTTTCGTAAATAGTGTATCCGATAATTTTTTACAAATAATATTTAATAAAAAAACTGATAAAGTTACATACTGAACTTTTGTTAATGTAAAAATGTAATAATTTATAAAGTTGACAGAGAAACTTTTAAAATACAAGGTATTGCACAAAAAACTGCTTTTTTGCAATCGGTTTAACACAATGTATGACATGGAGTGACAGGTCCTACATTTATTTAATATATTATTAAAAAATCAGTACACATCGTTAAAGCCGAAAAATAATATATGCCCTCTGTAACCACATTTATAAGCCACTCTTTATAAAATGTAAAGTATCACCAAGAAGCAATTACCTAAACTATGTTTTCATGGTACAATGATAATTGTTCACATTTTTAACGCTGTCATAAAAAAAAACATTTCATATTTTCGAAACACCCTGTAATTAACTAATTTCTTTAAGTAACTGTTTATAAAATATTAGTGCCAAATAATCTGTAGTTCATGTTTTCTACAACAAACGCGAATGTTACAGGTTTGTTATAAGAAATATGCTTATAAAAAAGTGACATTGTCGAAGAATCGGTTTGAGCCAATAGACACTTTTTGTCATAGGATCTAGTTTTACAACATATCAACATTTCAGAAAATTTGACGGAAAGCATTTTTCCATAAGAAAGTTGCATCCACATTTTATTTATATTATTTTCTAGACTATCTTTATTTAAACATAAAAACTGCAAATAATGAAAAAAAAACCTAAAAACTTATATATCAAATTCAATGACAGAAAGTTTTGTTTTTGTTAAAAGTCGTCATTGAAGAACACAAATTACGTCACACTTATATAACTTTTACAGACGTTAGTGTAGTTTTCTGTTTATTTTAAAATGATTGATCATAATAATTATAAAATTATTTTTTTTTATTTTTAAGGCAACAATCCGCAAAACTTTGGGCGATTTTAAACGAACACACCACAATAATTGGGAGACTCACAAGCTTAAGTTTACAGAAGAGGAATTGTGCTTATTGAGTGACCTCACAGTGCCTCCGAGTTATTATGTGTAGTTCTCAATCTTCTTTAGAAAAATATTTTAGTAAATACGATATTGTGATGAAAAAAAGGGAAAAGGGAATGTTTAAGGCTAAAATCTCGATATTGATATTGTAACAATTCTTAACGATACAAATTTAATCTAAAAAAGGCTGCACTCGGGAGTAATTATATTGTTTATGAAATTAAATACAAAGGCTGTATTAAATGTAACAACCTCTAATAAAAGTTAACACAATCAGACTAAAGTAATTAAATATGTAAGATTTTTAATCACATGTGTTTTAGAAAATTAGTTATTTTATTGGTTTTTTTATTTTTAATTGGTTATACACATTTTAATTGAATTCTTTATGTAAAATAAATGTTGTTTTTCATCATGATCATTTTATTTTTACAAAAAGGTAAGATCTATTAATAGAAAAAAAAATATTACTGTATTAATTCAATATAAAAACTTTCAATCAATTGTTTTTATTATTTATACAAGGATAATCGCACTAATCAATAATCTAACCATAGGAGAATTTTATGAATATTTTTAGTTTCATAATAAAGTTTTTTAAAAAATCTTCCAATCTTCAATTTTTATACCTATGAAATGTAAACTTTCCAAATTTAAACATTTAAAGTTGACATGTTGTTGATATTTAACAAAATATACTAAAATTAATTGAATTGATTCAAAAATTTCAATATAATTATTAAAAAAATAGAAACATCGATAATAAAAAATAATATTCCAAGTATACACAATGCTAACAAGGTTAAACCTTCGGGCATGCTTTCCTTTTACTGAAGCGAATAAAAAATAAAGTTCGAATATGCAGGGGAAGAAACAATGTTGCCAGTCACATCGATACATTATAGTTTCCCCTTTAAGGCTCGTTTATACGGCGTCTCTTAAGATTTAAATTAAGTATGCCTTATGGTCAGGACACCTTAGTAAACCGAGATTAGTAGGAGATATTGAATGCAGTTTCTGTGAGGAGGAGGACGAAACCTCCATTCGCATTCTGATAATATAAAAAGATGAAAAAAATCTGAATAAATTGGGGGGTTGATGCGGGTTAAAATATTTAAAAAAATCCTAGCTCAAAAACGAAAAATGATATCAACTAGAAATTTTTAGCAAAAATCAAGCTCTATAAGGGGAAGAAGTCCTTTGATGTTGAGAAAATCTGATTGAAAATGGGGGGAATAAAGGGTGGTTGAAATTTTAAAAAATCAAATCGAAAACGAAAAGCGATATCAACATGAAATTTTTAGAAAAACTCAAGCTCTATAAGGAGATGAAGCCTACTGATTCTGAAAAAAATTTGAATACAAATGGGAGTTGAAATATTTAAAAAAAATCCTAACTCAAAAACGAATAATAATGTAAACTTGAAGTTTTTGGCAAAAATAAAGATCTATAAGGGGACAAAGCGTATTGATTTAAAAAAATTGAATAAAATGGAAGTTAAAAACAAATGAAAACCAAAAGGATATCAATTTGAAAAGTGAGTATACTAAAAATATCAAGCTCAGAAATATAAAACGATATTAAATTGAAATCTTCAGGAAAATCAAGCTTTATAAGAGTATGAAGCCTATTGGTTCTGAAAAAAAATCTTATTGAAAATGGAGGTTAAGGAGGTCTGGTAAACTGTGAAGAGTATAATAAAGAATGCCAAGCATTTATATTTTCATTATAGTTTTATGTCTATATTTAACATCTTTATGCCAATCGGTCGCGTATTCGAGTTCGGAATTACACATCCGCTCTGCTTTCTAATCTAAGAATTTAATGTTTGATTAACGACCACTGAACTCGTTACTAGTGGAACCCTACAAGATCCTGCCGACCTAATAAAAAATGGCACAACTGTGCGATTGTTTACAGGTATTATTTATTCCAATTAAAAAATTTATACATAAGATGAAAAAAATCATCAAAGAAATAATCACAGTTCATTGTAATTGAGCTCGAGCTTACGCTATATGTGAGCTCTCCATGCCATGACAGACACTTTAATTACATAGAAAACAAAATTTAAAAAAATAACATTAAGTACATATAAGAAAGAAGAATTACAAGATATATATCAGAAAAACTTAGTTCATTCATTGCCCTTCAAGAAACCTGCAAATATCAATTTATTTAGCTGTGTTATGAAGGATGTTGGTAGACATCGAATTATTTCAGGGATCCTATTATATATAAGGATACCATTACTTAATATGCTCTGTCCCATTCATGTTTTCATTGATGCTGCTCTCAAGTCCTTCCTGTTAAGATCATGGTTATGGATTCCCTTTTTGGTAATAATGTGTAAATTTGAGTTGATTTCATTGTGTAGGCATCTGTGTACGAGGTGTGGCAATTAAATAACGAGAATTTATTTCTAGCTCCTATAGTGGTACCACTGACATCTTGAAAATTTGTTGACGTAAAGTTTACGAGATTACACACAACTCTGCCAAGTTTGATAGTAATCGGTGTAATATTTTGTGCTCTGCGATTTTTTAAAATTAGTAGTATACTGTCGTGACGTACAAAATTGTGTGACGTGAAAAACGAGCAACGAATTGCCATCAAGTTTCTAGTGATATCTGGCGAAAAACCGGCCGAAATTTTTCGTAAATTGCAACGTGTGTTCGGTAATGACTGTTTATCAAAACCACGTGTGTACGAATGGGCCAAACGTTTTGCATCAGGCCGAGAATCAATGCAAGGTCAGGTGTCCCTAAAATCGTGCACACTGGGCAAAATGTCGAACGTTTGAGAATGTTGGTGCGTCAGTGGTGCGGACAGATCGACGCTTTTCAATCCGAATGATGTCAAATGAATTCGATGTCAAAGTGTCTCGTGTGAGGCCGGAATTAGCCAAAAATGGTTGGGTCCTTCACCATGACAATGCGCCTGCTCACACATTAAAAGTTCAACAGTTTTTGACCAGTAGGAACATAACAACGCTCCCCCACCCCCCGTACAGCCCTGATCTGGCTCCACTGAACTTCTGGCTATTTCCAAAGTTGAAGGAACCAATGAAAGGACATCGCTATATGCATTTGAAGTACATTAAACGTGCCGTAACGTCGGTGTTAAAGAACCTAACTTCTGGAGACTTCCAGGGGTGCTTCCAGAAATAGGAAGAACGCTAGACCAAGTGTGTTAGACTAGGAGGAGAGTACTGTGAAGGCATGGGTGCATAAATCATTGTAAATATTAAATAAATGTTTTAAAATTCTCGTTATTTAATTGCCACACCTCGTATATGTGTGCATACTTGATGTATATAGATTGAATCAATTTCCATTATCTTTATTAGGCAGGTAAATATCTGATGTTTGATATAACCGCGGCAAATTGAAGATTTGCTTTATTGTCTTGTTTTGCTGCACACAAAGTGGTTGAACTTTTACATTATGGTGCATAATTGGCAAGTATGTTAGATGACAATTTACAAGACAGTTGGAGATCATTTTCTTGTAGTTTAGAGATAGGTATGATATTCTTCCAAGAATACCAATAACAGGTGCTATCTTTTTGCAAATATCTTGTTCCCAAGATAGTTTTTCATCTGTTAATAGACGAAGATATTTTATGCAATCAGTTTTATTTAAAAAATAATTACCAATTGATAATATTATTTGATGCCATTCACTATCGTTAGAAATTACTATAAAGTCTGATTTATTTATGTTTAAAGAGAGTTTATGAAAACTAAGGCAATCCTTTATAAGGAGCAGGTTATGTTCAACATCATTTTTTATCTGATCTTTATTTTTGTTAAAATATGTTATACCAGTATATTCCGCAAACAACCGAAGGTCACCTTTGAGTGGTAGTTTAGAAATGGAGTTGATATAAATTAGAAACAGAATTGGTCCGAGTATTGATCCTTGTGGTACTCCAAATACAATACATGACATATTACTATCCACACCATTTACATAAACATTTTGAATGCGATCCTCAAAGTAGTCCTTAAACCAATCAAGTGATTGCCTCAAACTTCAATATTTTCCAGGATTCTAAGTAACATGCTGTGAGCTGTGATTCACAGTATCAAATGCCTTTTTTAGATCCAATTATATAAATATACGACAACAGCCATAGCTGTACTATATCTTGGTCGGAACTCGGAATCCATACCAGAAATCATCTTGGTCTAGGAATTTGCACAGTCACACAAGTTTCCATTATCTTTGATATTACAGACAATAAATATATGGGTCTGTAATTACTGGACATGAAGCAATTACCACCTTTAAATATAGGAATAATTTTTGCTACTTATTTGCATGGTACGAATAGATGTAAAAGTTAAATTAATGAAAACACTTTTAAAATTTGAGATATATCATTATTGGAATTTCTTTAGTATTTCAGTTGTTAGATTATCTTTTTCGGGACTTTTATCTTTCTTGAGAGATAAAATTATATTACTAATTTCTTGAGCTGTAGTTGGTTGTAAGTGAAAGTTACTTACATTATATGACCAGGACGGAGTATTCTTAAGGAGGTCCTTTCGCCACCAATGTTAAATAAAAAATATTAGATTATGACTAAAATTAATTTTTTTCTAATAGTAGATGTCCTTATTTATCTAATAGTGAACTTTTAACTATACCTTACCGTGCAAATTTTTGAGAATTTTTTTTTAAAAATGGAAAATATCATAATTCAGTTTTATTTCCCAGCCATGACAAACAACTTGATCGTAACTTTCATATATCTTGTAAATTGATTTACTAAAAAAAAAAACAGTTGAGGTACCTACTTACCTATTTAATTATTCAATATTTTTAAGTATTACCTTAATGACCAAAAAAAGGTCTCCTGAGATCATTTCATAGATACAAAAAGAATAAAGAACTTTACTAAAAGGTACTTCCACAATATGCTGAAAGGGCAATAAATCTTTCAATTTTTTTTTAACAAAACCTTTAAAAATTAGTTACTATTTTATTTAGAAATAAATAAAAAATAAACAAAATGGTAAAATGAACATTAATTAATGAAGATTAATAATATTTATAGATATTTTAAATTCAAATAGATTTTTATAACACAACAATGTTTTAAGAGTGATAAAAAAAATAAACATACATGGCTACATTTACTTAAGGAGGTCCTTTAGCCACCAATGTTAAATAAAAAATATTAGATTATGACTAAAATTAATTTTTTTCTAATAGTAGATGTCCTTATTTATCTAATAGTGAACTTTTAACTATACCTTACCGTGCAAATTTTTGAGAAAATTTTTTTTAAAAATGTGTGTGTTTGTACAGTGTCTTATGAGAAAGTAAGACTTCAACAACAATTTTCGAATTATAATTAATTTTACTATTATTTATTGATTAGATGGAGTAGAAAAAACTAAAAATAAGGTTTTTGAAATATTTAGGTTTTGTTTTTTACAATAAAATATGTATATAGGTTACCGTGGAATTTATTGAGAAATTAATATTAAAAAATAACAAAAAAATTTCAACTAGGTTACTTGAATTTACAAAAAAAAAAATTGACGTAT